TTTAATTGGAATTTGTCTAGTTTTTGCTTAATTATTTGCAGATAAAAAAGTAGTGTAAAAAGCTACACAAAATAAGCCATGAAAGCCATGTTTTCAACTACCCGGAGCCAAGCCACGTAAGCCGAGCCGCACAAGCCAAAAAGAGAGAATAGCCGCGTGAGCCAAAGCCATAAGCCGATTTTCCCGTGGGTCCCAGCTCGCCTGCCTTCCCCACTCCAACTCGCGCGCGTCCCCAGCACGCCCGTGCCTCAGCCGCCACGTGGCAGCTGACTTCTTTTCCTCCAATCAAGCTTCGACACGTGTTCCCTTTGAGATGAGTCCGAATTCCTTCCCCAAAAATCAGAGCAAATTACCAGATTTCTTCTCCAAATCAAATATGTGATTTCTCCTAATTTATATGTAATTTTATTTTGTTTCCTTTTCTTTTGTAATTTTCTAGTTTTACAATTTATTTCCTTATTTGATAGGCAACCTCTGAACACTGTAAATAGAGGGGTTGGCCTAAGGTTTGAGAGAGCTTTGAATATTCAGTTTTTTTTTTGTCGTCTTGCTGTCAGTCTCATATTTTCTCTCTAGAACTTGTGAGAATGTTTTGCAAGATAGGCTAGAGTTTTCTTGGTGAGGTTAGAGATGAACTTCTATTGAGTGACCCAATTCGGGGTTTTGATTCCTTATTCTGTAAACTTCAACATCTGAATGAATTAAATCTCATCTATTTTTCTATTACTTTTCAAAATATTGTGTGTCAATTTTTATATAAGTTCAGTCACGCTTTTCTTATGTAATTCTGTCATGCAATGTTTTGTTATTCAAATTATTTTACAAATTGTCTTTTACTGCAATATTGTCAGATTGATATATTGTCGATTTTAGATAACTTGTAATAATAATATTTCTGGAGTCAACATACAGATTTAATTTATTCGGTTATTTAATATTGTGAATCAAAACTTGGATTGGTGAACGAAACATTAGGGATTCTCGACACCTTACCGTTTTTATTATTGAATTTTCTTCATACAAATTCTCTCATTTCTATTTTATTTGCAACAAAATCTCAAAAACTATTCTTTTTCTTTAATTCACTTTTCTCTAACGCTCTTATTCTGTTAGTCTTTCTTGTTATTTTGTTATCTCTCTGTGGATACGACCGCCCTTCTGTGCTACAATTGACCGCTTGTGAATATCACTTTTAGGCGTTAATCACTTGTCATTATTGACTTTGAAATTCTTTGAAAACTTACTAGCTTCGGCAACATTAACTTTAGAGGAATCTACAATCTTGCTCTTGAAATCACAAGACTTAGTCTCTTCTTCGATTCTCAAGTGTTTTTGTAATTCCTCCAAAGTTATGTCATCTCTCCTATGAAGGAGTTTCTTTCTATAACCATTCCAACTTTGAGGGAATTTAGCAATAATTGCCCCCACTTGGAATGATTCAGAAATCTCAACTTTCAATTCACGAAGCTTAGTAACAATGACTTGCAATTCATGTATTTGATCTAGAACGGACTTGGTATCAACCATGACAAATTTAAGAAATTTCAAGATGAGAAATTTATCCGTACCTCCCTTTTTAGTTTTGTATTTGTATTCGAGAGCGTTCCAAATCTCCACCGGAGACTCCATCGAGTTGTAAAGATCGTAGAGCCTATCGGAGAGAGTGTTGAGAATATGACCCCAGCACATGACTTCATCATATCCACGCTTCTTCCTTGCGGTCTTCAATTCTTCAGAATCATCCTCCTTTGGTTCAGAAAGTGGCTCCAATTTCGGATCAAGCACGTAGACGATCTTAAGCACGGTGAGAAGGAAGAACAACTTTCCCTTCCAACAGGTGAAGTTAATACCATCAAAACGATCAAGTTGAACATTAGGATTGAGGAAAGATGTCATGTTCTTTTCAACCTCCATTGCAGCAAGTATAAAACGTTAAAGATTGTTGGTGAAATTCAGATTTGGGAGGATGAAAAGAATATAGAAATCAAGAAGAGAGTTTAAGGCGTATAGGAATACTTTCTTTTAAGGTTTTATTTGTCCTCACTTTTCAAAGTTTGCTAATGAGTTTTTTTAATGGCAAATTACCCCCAAGATACAACAAACCCTTGAACACAATATCCAATAAAAATATTGAGTTCCAGAACAATAATCAGTCTGCATTTTCTGAATGCATTAATTAAAGACAGGGATACAAACATCCTCTTTAACTGTTACAACCTTTCACATAAAGATACCTTTCCAATCTGAAGGTTATCTTTTATATGCTGATCCACTTATAATAATAGTTATATCTATTGTTAATAAGTACTCAGATATGTGAGAAAACATATCACAAATGAATGCAATGGTTTAAGACCTTTTCAGATCACTAAAACACACGAAAACACGTTTTCCGGTAGCAAAATGCGCTGCAGCCGCTGCAGCGCTCGGGCATCGCAAAACAGACCCGAGAGGTCTGTTTTATGTGCGTTGCAGTGCGTCTATGCGCTGCAGCACGCGCTGCTATGCGCTGTAGTGCTCGGGCATCACAAAACAGACCCGAGAGGTCTGTTTTGTGCGCACTGCAGCGCGTCCGTGCGCTGCAGCGCGCCAGTTCTTCCTGAATGTGTTTTAGGCCAATTTTTGTGATATCAAAATTGAGAGATATATTACAATCTCTCTAACAGGGAAGGCCGTGGAAGGGTCGCCGGGGATGAGGGAGTCACCGATGAGCAAACGTTGGCTGCTGGGTTTTTTTTTTTTTTTTGGGCTTTTTTGCTCTTAAATTGGGCTGGTAGTGTTTTTCACCATATTACAATATCAATGGCTAAAATTAAAGCACAACTAATGGATGGTTGAGATTAGTTTGGGTATTCTTGTCATTCCACATTTAACATTAACAGAGTTAGAATGAGGGGGTGTTGGTGTTATTGTTTTAGGTCAATGGGTTGTCTATGTTAGTTTAGTAAAATACAGGGAGTGTCAATGTAAAAAGCCCTTGTTTTCTTATTGAAGTGTGGTCATTGTCCAGACCCTCATAAAATAATTGTAATTGCAAAAGAAGACCAAACGTTCATTTGCGTGTCTTTTGATCTTTCTTTGATCTTTTCCTTCTATAAATCAAAGCTCCACCTTACGAATTAAGATTTAAGAACCCAGTTCCTTTTTCTGCTTTTTCTATCATTGTTTCTCCCTGAAATCTTAAATTATTTGGGTTTTGGGCTTACTTTTCATATTCTCATTAAATTTGCTATTGTCTCCCAAACGATTGATTGGTTTTTTCTTATTTTGTCTCCTGATTCATATCACAGGTAATTTTCTATCCTACCCTTTTGCTTTCTAGACCGATTTCTTTGTTTTTCACCAGAAATTTCTGTTCTCTTTGTTAAATTTGGGTTTTTGGGGTAAAACTCCGAAAAGATTTTGTGGGTTTCAATCAATAGAAAAGCCCACAATTCCCCCCCACCTTCTCTGGAAAGTTTTCTGCTTTTCATTGTTTAGGGACTTTGCATGTTTTTTCAGATCCTTGAACTGAATAGTCTATAATCTAATCTAATCTGAATTCAGTGTAGAAAGCGGCTATCCAAGCAAATCCCAGATAAAGTTTTGAGTGGCTTTGTAGATTCACCATTTTTTTTTTTTTGGTTGGGAAAAGAAACGTCCCATAAAAGATGACTATTGAAAACGTTGTACCGAAGAAGGAAAGGAAGTCTAGGAATAGCAGCAAAGCAGTGGTGGATGAGAAAGCCCCTATGTTGCCCAACAGACAAGATGAAGTTGTTGGGTTTGATGAGTTCGATGGAGCTTCCTTTTCTGGGGCTGTCTTCAACTTATCCACTACAATTGTTGGGGCAGGAATCATGGCTTTGCCTGCCACCATGAAGGTTTTGGGTCTCATCCTTGGTGTTGCTCTCATCATCTTCATGGCCTTCTTGACTGATGCTTCCATTGAATTGCTGCTCCGGTTCAGCCGGGCCGGAAAGACGGTTTCCTATGGAGGCCTTATGGGAGATGCTTTTGGAAAGTATGGGAAAATTCTCTTGCAAGTATGTGTTTTGATCAACAACATTGGAGTACTTATTGTGTATATGATTATTATAGGTAAGGCTGGCAGATTCAAAATTGATTCTTTTTTTAGATGGAATGTAATTGAAATGTCATGTTTTTGTTTCTAACTATGTTGTGTTGTTTTTTTTTTTTTGAAGGTGATGTGCTTTCTGGGACTTCTTCAAGTGGAGTTCACCACTCTGGTATCCTTGAAGGGTGGTTTGGAGAGCACTGGTGGAATGGGCGTTTCTTTGTGCTTCTTCTCACAACACTTCTTGTATTTGCTCCATTGGCGTGCTTTAAGAGAATTGGTCAGTCTTTATCCCGTTATCGGAAATTGTTTTCTTGATCATATTATTCACTGACATATGTACAGTCATTTACTCTCAGATTCCTTTTGAGTTTTTTACATAATGGCTTCTAGATCTGATTTGATATCTTATACAAATTCATTGTAGAATACAACGAATACAAATGGGCTTTTTTTTTTTTCTTAAGGATTTTAGTTAATTAAGTTCTTTGTGATAGTCATATGGGTGTAGAGTACCTTTTTTGTGACTTCTAGGATATTTTTCTCCCTATTATCTTGCTTCCCTCTTGTTTTATTTTTTGTTTTTTTTCAATGTGTAGATTTATATTTCACGAGTTCTTTCTTCATTTGTTGTGATTAAGTTGTTGCAAATTTGTATTGATGTCATTTTCCATCCTGATCATGTATGAGCAAATATTAGTCCCTCTCAACTAACCATGGTTTGGTTTTCTTGATGAGTTCTCAAAGAAGTTCTAATTTGTGCTTTGACTTCTTAAATCCTATTCCATCTGAGCTTGTTACGTGGATATTTTTTCTCTTCGAAGATACGAAATGTTGCTTGAATTTCATTCAGAATAATTTTGAGATTCTAAAAACTATTTTTTTGGCTGCAGATTCTTTGAGGTTCACGTCTGCGTTATCAGTTGCACTGGCAGTTGTATTTCTTGTAATTACCATTGGAATTTCAATTGTTAAGTTGATTAGTGGAGGAGTTATGATGCCGCGATTGCTACCCGATGTTACCAATTTGTCGTCGGCTATTAAGCTCTTCACAGTAGTCCCTGTTCTGGTCACTGCGTATATCTGCCACTATAATGGTATGCAAAGCTATTACTTATTGCTAGTTACCTGTATTCTCTTCCTTTAATGAAATGTAAAACTAAGTGCTTCCTACTTTTATAAGGATGACATAAAGATCAAAGTAAACATGCTTGGATTTGGTCCTTAAAACCTTTCCTGAGTTTCGTTTCTATTGAATTTTGGGGCAAACTTGATTAGAGTTTGTTTTGTTCAGCGGCAAATTTCATTCAGCTAGATCCCATCATGACCAACATGCTTGAAATGATGTTTTGTAACACTGATTGGCCCTTTTAATAAGGTAAATTAAAAGAGCTAATCTTCCCAGTTGTTTTTGGTTTGCAGTTCACAGCATTGACAATGAACTTGAAGATTCTAAACAGATAAAGGCAGTTGTCCGCACCGCACTTGGTTTGTGCTCTTCTGTGTACATAATGACCAGCATTTTTGGGTTCCTTCTATTTGGCGATGGAACCCTTGATGATGTGCTCGCCAACTTCGACACTGATCTTGGAATTCCGTACAGTTCCATTCTCAATGATGCTGTTCGTGTTAGCTATGTTGCCCACCTCATGCTCGTATTTCCAATCGTCTTCTACCCGCTGCGGCTCAACTTGGATGGTCTCCTCTTCCCCTCATCAAGGCCCTTGGTCCTGTCCAATACAAGATTTGCATTTGTCACTGTTGGGCTCATTTCTGTCATCTTCTTGGGTGCAAACTTCATTCCCAGCATCTGGGATGCTTTCCAATTCACCGGAGCAACTGCTGCAGTCTGCCTCGGGTTCATCTTCCCAGCTGCAGTTACTCTCAGGTGAGTGTTCTGATTTCTATTTCCTTTCATTCCAAATTTTTTTCTAATCTATATTACCTATCCTGATTGTCTGTCTTTGAGAACAATCTATAATAACTTGTGTCCTAGGGAATTAAGCAAACCTGCAACCCTTTAAGGCTTTGTTTGGTAAGAGGGAAAGAAAGGTATATTACCTAGGCAAGTAAGATGGAGAGAAAAGGAAGACTTTTCTCTTATCGTGTTTGGTATGAATTCCCTCTAATCCATACATATTGGGAAAGATCAAAATATCTCACCCTATCTATTCACTCTTTACTCTCCTAACCAAAGAACTGTAGGTTTCAAAATTCTTGCACTAATCCGCTCACCCTGTTCTCTCCTTCCACTATTCCCTCCTACCAAACAAGCTTCTAAGGAGTAAAAAATGGCTTTTGTATCATAACATGTTGAAGAATATTAGGAGTTATTTTTCTTGATATTGAAGTGTCAGTGACATTTTTCTATTTTTTTGGCTCTTCCATTTCGTTAAAATTCTTGTTATTTCTTTTGGTGATCCAGGGATCGGCACAATATAGCAACCAAGAAGGACAAGGTGTTGTGTGTATTCATGATTGTCCTTGCTGTGTTCTCAAACCTGGTGGCCATTTACAGTGATGCCTATTCCTTGTTCAAGAAAAATGCTTCACCGCGTGAGTGATCTCTCATTTCACTGCCTTCTACAGAAACCTTGCTGGGAATTTTGGTTGTTTGATGGCCGAGTCCTGTGGATTTTTAATAGAAAATCGGAAGTTTTCTAAGAAGGTTCAATGAGTTGAATAAGAGGGATGCTTTGTTCAATGTGTAAAAGTTGCTCTAGAAAAGTGTAAGAAGTTGTGCCGTGCAGTCGAAATTCAATCATCTTTTCTTCACATGTTTTTATATTGCAATGTACTTGAAACATTGTCTTTTATTGTGTGGAACGGCTTTGTCAGATGAAATACAAATACATATCTTATATTTGTTTAGCTCTTACCTTTTGTTATGCTTTCTATTTACTAGTTAGTTTTTGTAATTACCAATAAGTAAAAGCAACTTAATTTGAACTTCTTATTGAATGTGTTGGTTTTTAGTTATGTGCCAATGTAACTAGATTGACCGAATCTCATTGGAAATCCTTGAAAGTAATGAGAAAAAAAAAAAGACGCATTCTAACGTAGGAAATGCTTACTTTCAAATTTTCAATTCAATTCTTTTGGTCGTTTTTTTGAAAGCAATCAGCCAATCACAAGTCACAACAACACGGGACTGGACTGGACAAAGTCTTTGATATGAGCGAGGAATTTGGAACGCATTATTAGCTGGAGATGATTCACGATTTTTGCCATTACCAAGCTGTCATAATTGATAACTACGTAAAATATCACTGCATCAGCCAAACCACAACTAGTTTGTGACACACTACTCCGAAAACATTGACACGGGTCGTTATGTTGACCAGCACGTGTCATTATAACTTTTTTTTTTCCAGCCGAAAAAAAAAGGCTTATATCTAACGTTTGTAAAACTGGCGTGGGATTCACCATGCAAGAGAAAGCTAAATTATTATAAAAACAAAAAAGTAACCAGCTTTCTTTTTTGCTGAATAAAAAAAAACCTAACCAATAGATGTTATTGAATCATCACGAGGACATCTAAAACGCTGGAACTGTACAAATAAATTACCCTGCTCACTACTCCACAAAAGACTACATATATACAAATTCACCCTCAAAATTACTATTTTTTTTCTTCTTTTTTTTTTTTTTTACTTTTATCTGAGAAGCTACATGTGCCAAAACATGGCATTACAAAAGGTTATGGGTTACCAATATTGATCACAAAAGGCACCAGCCTTCGGTATTCCCTTCTCTTGCCTAGCGCGCAGCTATCAAGCACACGCCCAAGGATGAGACGCGTGTTCTGCAGAGCCACTTCTCTGGACGGCAATCCCGAGTCATTCGACCCCACGGGCGCGGGTGCAGAACCAGTCCCAAACGCAGATCCCATGTTGTATTGTAGAGGCCCACTGCGAGCCTTGAATGAGGTCTGAGAAGCAAGGATCTTCTCATCGCCGCTTCCAGTGATCCCATTCTCGAATGGTCCGGGTTCGTGAGGGTGAGAGCCAGTCAATGAGCTGCAGCTCTGCAGAAGGGCTTCCAACACACTCAGCGCCTCCCAACACAAAGTGCTCTCCACCAACTGAGACACTATTGCATACATGTGTGGACTTTGGGCGGCGTCCATTGGAGTGTGCTGAAGCAATGCCTTGAGCATGAGTAGAATCACACGCTGATACTCAACTGGCCCTTTCTCTAGTAGCCGTAGCAAGTGTCCAAAAGCCAGTGCTGAGTGCTTTGGAAACCACTCGTTGCATAGCAGAGGTGAAACGCATGAGAGGAGGTTCTCAATGCTTTTGATCTCGCCTCGAGAGTAAGCCAAAAACACGGTGGCTAATTCGTCCAACGATTTTGCTCGACACCAGACCGAGATGTTGGCTGCAACAGAGCAAGCTTTTTGGTACTGCTGCTGAAGTGGTGAAGCAGGCCCCATTACAGGGTCCTTGCTAAGCTGCAAACATAGCCAGTGAAGCAAGCCTGTAATGTGCATCAACAGTCTTGTTTCTGCGCCTCCAAATATAGAGTCACAAGAGTGAACGGTGATCCGAGAGAGAACCTCGATAGAAACACCGTGACTGACGGTGGACATGAGCCCTTTAAGCACGAGAGGTTGCACTCCTTCAAATGTTGGCAGATGACCCCCAGAGCCATTCCTAGATTCTGTCCGCTGGAAGTCCCCAATTTCACCGCTGGTATCAAACTCATCTCTTGGCATGCTCGAGAGAAGCACGTTCTCTGTTGTTCTGTCCCGGAATGATAGACGGTCAATCACACGTGAGAAGAGCTCAAGCACTTGGCAATAGACGTGAACAAAATCCGTGTGCATCAAGGCCACACATCCCCAAAAGAGTTGGGGGTAGAGTATCACCTTCTCAGGTTCCATATTCTCCACCATCACTTGCAATGTCATCAAGATTTCCATAACGAATCCCAACACTGGAGGTACTGGGTTCCCCAGGCATCTGTGAAGGCACCGGAGAAGCGATACACATGTGTCACTGGTGACGCTAGGCCGCAGTGCACGGTAGATCTGATGTGAACGACAAGCAAGGTGTCTTGATGTGCATTCCATGGCCCACTTCAGAGCCTCAGCTCCCCAAGTCTCACGGAGATCTCCTTGGAAGAATATGGCATCCACCATGCTTTGAACTAATGCAGACAAAAGTGCTGCACTGGGAAGCTCGGTTCTGACAACTGTGGGATCCTCATTCTCCCACATCATACTTCCTCGCTTTGATTGCACGTACTTGATCAGGCTTACAACCTGCTGCTTGTTCTCTCCATCACTGTTTTCCACCTCATACAGCTCCAAATGTCGGCCCGCAAGGGAGTATAGTAGATTGACAAGCAAATGCTGGCAATGCTCTAGCACAATATCCTCCGAACTATCCATTGAAACAAATGTAACATGGAAAAGAAGAGGCAAGTGCTCGCGAAAATCTTCGTCATTCTCATATGCAATTTCTGCTAGTAGAATCAATGCAATATCTGCATGAGTCAACGAGTGTTGCTGATGACCCTGCAACGCTGACTGAAGTTCTTTGGCATTAACTCCATGCATGGCAGCCCCAGAATGCAGCCCATCTTCGCCAGAGTTTGGAGTGTCGATAAGGTAGTCTCCACTGTCCCTGGAAACATGACGGCTCCGCAAACTTCCTGTTGAACTTCTTACACCCATTAACGGCCCTGACATGTTTACCAATGCTGGAAGCAACTGGCCTGACCGTGCTGTATTTACAGGAACGATGTTCAACTCGGGAGGCATTGGACTTAATGGGCCCGATACACTTCGGCCTGTTACACCTGCTGTTCGCCAGCTAAGGCTACCACTGGCATTCCTTAGTGGACCATCAAGGGAACCCCGAACAAGTAAAGGTGACATGTGTGGTTGACTGTCCACAACAGAAGCAATTTGAGCTACCGGAGGCCCCTGAGAGAATTCCAAGACAAAGTTCCCACTGGAGTCAGCCTTGTTTGCAGTTGGCACAACTGGCTCCATGCTATCCTCTAGCATCCGCTGAGCCAATTGATAAACCAGGTGATCTATGGTACGCTGAGGACATATCCGTGCTAAATACAAGCTTACTCTTTTAGCGACTGAAAAATATGTAGCAAAAGCACCACTTATTTCAGCAGATGCATTAGAGTCACAATCTTCAATCCCTTTGGTGATCAAGAAATCTAGAACGGGACTAATATTTCTGGGTTTGCTAGCAATAGTGCTCCAAAGTTTCTCAATTTCATCAGGGAACTGGTCTCCATGCCGCCATGTTACATAGTAAAGAGATTTTAATAATCTTTCGCTCCAGCCTGAGTCCTTAAGTTTCCAGAAATTCAGGTTCTCAATCCATGGGGCCATGCAAGTTAAGACCTGATGTTGGGCAATAATATCAACTGCATCAAGTTGTCTCTGCATGATCTCTTCACAGAGAAGCTGGCTTAACTCAGGGTGATCTTTCGCAAGTTTGCATGATAGCTTATACTGAAATTGTTGGTAGGAATCAGGAAGGTTGCCAACAACAGCAGCCCGATAGCTCCCTGAGCCCTCAATGCCATCTTCGGCCCACTCACGAACAGAAAGTGTCTCAAGCATCTGAAGGGCATCATCACGGATTTGCCTTGATGGATCCACCACCTTGTAGAGAATCAGACTTAAGAGTCTCTGGATTTCACATTTGGGTATCTCTTGGCGCATGTATACCTCAGCCAATACACTGAAATAACCATCTGCTATAGCAGGATCGGAGTAGTAGCACTAATTACAAAGAAAAGTTAATTAGCCCCACAGATATAGGAAGTAACAGCCATAATTTAGAAATTAAAAGTTTCCCAAAACCTTTTTTTTTTAAAAAAAAAAAGAAGAGAAAAAGAAAAAGGTTCCGAAAACTAGCTAAGATGAAGCAAAAAGATTGGCAAAGGCCAGAAATTACGAGTCAACAGGAAATAAACAATGGTGTGAACTCAAAGAAAGACGTAATAAACTTTAAATTACACCCTGACTCAAAGCATCATATATCGTCTTTCACTACGTCCTGTCCCCATTTGACCATGTGGCAATGTTCACAAATTTCAATGACAATAAAAAAAAAATGAAAAAGAAGTGAACACAATGACTCAGAAAGGAAAACTATTACCTGATCAATACAAGCAGGAAAGAGGTCCAAATTTGTAAGTAGAAGATTCTTTAAAGCCAGTTTTGCTAAAGAAACACGATGATGTCCACCCCTATGCCTATCACGACCAGCAGTTCCCCGACCACCTTCTCCTGTGTACTTGGAATAAGATGGAGTTCTCGGATCTGGTGAGTAACCATATGGAGCCCTCGGTGCAGGCTCAATGAACAAACTGTTGATCCATGATATGACCCGGCCACTCATTTTTCTTGCATTGTCATCGAAGCAAGGCCCATATAAGAGTGAAGCCATGGCATTCATGGATGCCCACTGGATTGCCTCAACTTGTTCACTCAGTTCTTTATCAAATGATAATTTGTCTACAGAATCTTTTGACCTGGCATGCTGAGAAGACTTGTAACGATCTACTTCTCGTCGATAATCACTAACACTATCTCCACCCCACGTACTGCCTGTATCATCAGACCAGGAGAGGAGAAGGTCAAACAGTCTCTTTCTAGTTCTAACATCAAATTTCTCTGTTTTTGCTTCAACAAATTCAGGGGCTAGTGATCTTAGAACATATGCGAGTGCATAGCGAAGAGGCTGCATTTCTTGGAAGCTCTCAGCAGATGCTGTTAAAATCTGTCTGGTTGTCTCATCAATGAACTTCAGATAATGCAGACGGAAAACTGGCTTACGGGCCAGCATGCCTGGCCAGATATTCTCAGCAACAGTACGATATATATTTGCAATATGAATCCGGAGCTCCTCACGGCGTCCCTTTTGACTCTGCATCCATGAGTGAGAAACGCATTAGAAATCACATCAACTAATATCCAAAATTCAGGAATGAAATGAGAAAATACAATGATGATGTAAGTAAATTAATTCCTAAGGATCATGATGATGTAAGCTCTGAAATAATGGAGAGTTAATAAACCATATAGTGGATTTTAGAAAAGCAATCAAGGACTGCGCGTAAGATACCATGCACATGGCAGAGAGTCAGATATGACCAATCAAAGGAATGTTAAGGTTACTTTTAAGGAATATCTAGATGCATTCAAACAGATTCCCATACCCAGTATCATTAAATAGGTAGTGAGCTGTGAAAAAACCTCCGATTTATGTATTTTATCTACTACATTCTGTGGACTTCGTTTTTTGTTCCAGCTAATTGTTATCAATTATCAAGACATGCGATTTCTTTCACCATTCAGAAAAGTAAAAGGAATAACATTTATCCAGTCTTCTCAATTCAGGAATGGAAACTCTGGCAGAAGGTTCTGAGATTCTCACTCCAAAATACTGATAAAAAACTCTGGCATATGAGTATTCATATCCTTTTTTTTTTTTTTTTTGGATAAGATGACTATTGATATCCTTTACGATTATCTAGTGTTTCAATCTTCACTTTAGGTTTGAGAACACGATTTATATACTTCTAACAGAAAATTGAGTCTTAATTCCGCAAACAAAATTACATAGTTCACCACATGAAATTTAGAAATATCACTAAAATGATAATCATCAAATTACATGCCATCTTAGGCATTTGGTAATAAATTGTACCTTCCACTTTGGTTTCCCCTCTGTCTCTGAGGAAACCTCGTCAATAAAAGAAGCAAGCTCACCAAACATGATTTCACATGCTTCCAGATGTGAGTGCCCAAGAGCCATAGTTGCTGCATGCTAGAATTAAAATGGAAGATCCTTAAGTTGATCAAGGAGGATGAAACCAAGAAAATAAATAAATAAATAATGATGAAATGAATAATGACAGATTTTTTAAGATGAGAACACCCCAGTACATAAAAAATAAAAATAAAAATTAAGATCAATATTGCACTAAATCTAACCTCACGGCTTTCAGTTATATTGCTTTTGTAATGAACAGAAAAAAAAAAAAAAAAAAAAAAAAAAAAAAAAAAAAAAAAAAACGCATGGGGCCTAAAAAAAAAAAAAAAAAACTAATGATCTGCTCCCACTTTCCCTTCCCCAAGTTACTATTCAGTACACACCTATGCTCATCAACCGTATGAGCATTCTGAGCATACAATTCACTAGTCCCATGCTACTTCCCAACGAAAAATGGGGAACAAAAAGGTGAATCTTTCAAATTTGACAATAACATATTCAAAGAAGGGGGAGAAAAAGAATACATAAGTACTTGAGAAATACATGCTATCACAGTTCATAACCAGTCAACCACAGGACAACTTCTAAAGATTCCTACTTTGAAAGTCATCCATTGAAAAACATTGAATATAGCCCCGCCAATTGTCTGCATTAGATATGAAGTTTTCCTAATCAATACTTACTACATGTGCTTCCGATCCTGATTTTAGGGAGGGGAAAATAAGATGGTAAAGATCTTTGGTTGCTGCTGAGCTACCAGCTTCTTTGCCAACTGCTGGACATGAACATACGAACATGGCATACATAAGCCACTGGTCCAGCTTGTTGTCTGAATCTTGAGACTGATGGGCTTTCCCACCCAATTCAACAGGTGTGATATGAGCAAGGCGTTGTATAACCTCTATCCTGCAATTAAATTTTTTTTAATGACTACTCCTCAAAGAAAACAAATCAAATAAGAACGTTCTAACTGTGAAAAGAAATTTTGTTTACGAAATGAGAAGTTACAACCAGCCATTTCTCACACAGCACTCCCCCACCCAACCGGAAAATATATTTCTCACACTGCACTCCCCTACCCAACCAGAAAATAAACTAAGATCGTACATTTTCAGGTGAAATAAGCTTAAATGGTTGTGGTTGTTTTATTTACTTTTTAATTGCTTTTCAGTCCATGTCATTCAGTTACCAAATACTCTCTAAAATTTAATTTTGCTGCCGATCTGTAAAGCAAAAAAAAAAAGCAAAAAAAAAAAAAAAAAAAAAAAAAAAAAAAAAACAAACAAACCTTTTAAATGCATTAACACTTTACTTGAATCCACACATAACTTTAAACAAAACATAAAAGAACGGAACCAAAGACGATTATTGACAAACAGGCATTATCCCTGTGTTTTAATGGTCATCTCCAAAGCTTAAAAAGGTTGGGGATAAGCAAAAACAGGTATGGCAAATGAATTATATATCAGTAACAGAAACCCAAAACGAAGGCTCTCTGGTGTGTATTGTGTATTCTGTGTACGTATGTGTATCTGTATACTTACTTCGCTTCCTGAACAGAGCTCGGGCAAAGCTCAGCGGCATATTTGACAAGCTCGCTAAGACACCGAGCCCACCTATTCTTATCAGGGCTCTCAAATATTATAGATTGAAGCGTTACATCAGGAGGGATTGCATCAGATTCTCGTCTCAAATCAAACGGACGCCCAGAATCCCAGTAGCAGCTCTGAACAATATCATCCTGTAAATTGAAGGTTTAAGTAAATGCTTACCCAACATTGCACCCAAATTTGTGCTCTTTTACAAGGTTAACGGGAAAAATAGAAAGAAAGAAAAATCAGGTAAAGATAGGAAATGTCCCACCCCATGCTCCTCCAGGACATCAATAATAAATATTGGTTCTGCTTCGTATTTCAAATTATAGTCTGATTGCTCACGCGATGAAAGTTCTCTTATATCATTCCTCAAAGCACGAACACAACGTAGTAGTTCCAGTGCAGTATGTCTAATTTGGCTATCCACAGAACTAAGGAAGATGAGACCAACAGCATCTATCTCTGAAGCACGAAATTCAATAGATTCTCCAGATTGGTGAAACGAAGATCTTTTGAATCCCTCATTTCCTTGTTCCACACGCTTAGCATTTTGAGCATCACTTTCCAATCTATCATCAATTAGACAAGCTCTCCAAAAACGCATGAGTTCCAACAAGCGGCCCAATGATGTTTGAATTAGAAGAGGGAATTCATCAGGAAGGCGTTGGATGAAGTTCGCCATCCCTCGCATAACTGCAAATCGTCGATGGGGAAGAAATCTTACAATCCGGTTAAGTACCTGCACTGCTTCCTCACGGACACCAGGATCAATACTTATGCCATGTTGAGGTATTATTTCTGTAATTTTATCACTTCTGCCAACCTCTTCAATAAGATATGGTATGCACTTTAGCACAGATCGGAAAAGATATCCCTGAGATTTTTCCTTTGTTACAGCATCTGGAAAAGCATACAATTGATTCAATACATTTTGGTATGCCTTCTCAAAACAGCATAAAGGAAAAAACAGATGAAAAATGTAAATTAACTACCAAATACCAATGGATCAATATAGCTTATGAAGTTCATAAACATGACAGAAAAAGAATAGTTAAAAGAAAAAAAGAAATAATTGCATAATGATACAGATCTGCAGTCTACACATTACTTAGCCTCTCACCTTCCCACAAACTCTATGTCACAACTTCCAACCCCACCCCAGCCTCCACCCCCACCCCCAATTTCTGTATCCATGGTAGCATAGCAAAAAGAAAATTACCTATCGTTGTCCTTGAAGATGTTAGAAGTGCCTGACTATAGGTTCTATGGCATGACCTCAAAATTGACTCAATTGCAGCCTTCACTTTTGGAATGTAGTGGCCAATATCATGACCTGTCAAAACAATGGCGTAAGATGTAGGTTGTTAATAAAGTTAGCTCCAACACCATAATTATACAATGTTTGGGACCAACAACAGAATGTGCAGTTACCTGTAAAAATTTCCAAGCCCACATACTGGCTAGAAGGTGACATTACTATTGCAAGCAAAGCTCGAAGACCAATAACTTTCACCTCGCTAAGACTATCTTGCTTAAGCAGTTCTAATATCATATGATTCATGGCAAAATCAAGATTGTGTTCTGCTATAGTCACACAGAACTCCACAAGTTTATCATGTTGGACATCTTGCGTAAGCATCCCTTTCCTTAAAACTGTTAACAGTTGTGAGGTCACACTGTCTAAGTAGTCCCATATCTGATTTGGAGCCTGGTTTGCAGCATGCACACTCAAGTAGAACCTCAAAACTCGATGAAGACAGTCCAAGGCCATGAAACGATGGGTCTTGTCCTGAATGATTAAACCACATCATATCATACAACTTATCACCTGAAATGGAAAAGCATAAGCGTATGGCTCCTATTGTGCACCTCAACAGACTAGCATGATGAAACAGTATGATTGTACCAGAGAAATAAACCAATTAACCGTTGAACGTCATCTCATCCTTACTAAAATTTGATTTTTGAACTTACTCTAAGAAGAAGCTTGTAGAGTTGCTCCCTGTGAGAGCTTAAGTTGTTGTGGAATATTTGAGGATCACCAAGACAGAGGAGAAGAGTCACCAAGGGATAACCAACCTAATGCAAAAAAATTTCCCATATGAGCACAGAAGAAACAACGTATCATGCAGGGAAAGACAAGTAACAAAATAGAAATAATACCAGCTGCTCAGAAATTTAAAAGTGACAGCACAACATTTTTTTTTTTAGAAGAAACATCCTTTATTAATACGGAACATGGTACAAAGGAAAAAGGTTAAGGTGTCCTCAAGAATAAAAACAAAAATCAGAAAAGAAATAACATGAAAAGACTAAAACCGAAAACCGTCAAATAACATAAAATAGCAATAGAACCTAAGTATCAAAATAAACAAAGAAAATGGAAAGTCTTAAAAGGCTTTACTGGTCGAGGGCTCGAGGCCAACAAGGAGATAAGTGTTAGATTTTTCAAAAAGATCCTTAGTTTCCATGTCTCTCTTCAAAAATCCCGCCACTCCTCTCCAACATAAAATAGCAAAAGAACCCTTTTTAGGAGAGCAATTAAAAACTAAAACCAGAAGAAACATAAACAGCCCTTGGAAAGGAATATAATCCCATTGGAGCGACTTGGTTATACTAATGAAGATAAGAATATGCAGCTAACTTATGACATTCTTCTCTATCCAAGGGGGATAAAACGAAGTAGAAAATTATGGAACTCATGCAGTGCAAGTGTGCAACTCGAAAACAAAACTGTATCCTCCAACCCCAAGAGGGCGAAATAAAAATAAAAAACAAAAAATAAAACATATAGATAGGTAAGAAACAGTAAAAATTTTAGGGTCTTTTCTTTCCGCTTTGGACTTTAATAGGCAACTACGAGAGAATATGTGATATTCTATAGAAAAGGGAGGTCGATGATCTTGGATCAACTTACAGCAATATGCTTGCTCTGTTTATCCATCCAATGCATGAGCTGTATTCTTATTCTTCCAACAGCTTCATACCAGAAGGTAAGTGCAGGCTCTACACCTGAAGGCGGCCACTGACTTTTCCCCCCATCTGCCAAAGGTGCTAAGATGTTTGAAAGCATATTGCATAGTGCATGGTAAACCTCAGTTTTCCGTTTATTAGGAGCACGGTTAAGAGGGTTTGCTTTTGCCACAAAGGAGGCAGACGCATTCAATCCACCCTCAGTTTTCACCTGAAAAATAAGTAAATAACTATAGCTATAAGACAGATTGATCCCATTTTTCTCCAGAGGAATATATTCTAAAGTTAAAACACACCCCTAACTTCAAGTAGCGCATTCCGTTTATGATACTAAGTGTTTCACTTCGGGCAGCATTAGTTTCTATCCGACGAGTATTGAGTTCCATGAAAAAACGCTCCGTCACAGAACTAAACCTGTAAATGGAATTGAACATTTTGTTATATTTCATATAGTTAAAGAAGAAAGAGGCCTATCCAGCACTACTAAGTATAAAATAACAATAATAATAATAAAAATAAAAATAATTATGATAATAAAGGGACAGTCATAGGCCATGGATGGTTTATTAATCAATCAACTTATCACTTACATTTTCTTTTTACCATCTTGGAGGAGTAAATGATAAAGATGTTGATTAACTTTAAGAGCATAATATTACAAAGAGAAACCCGAACTCAATGTGGATTTTAGAAGTAATTATTTAAAACCTCAATTTGATGATTGCCAACAGCAATGAATGAGATCATAGTACTTTTTTTTCCCGCTGCAATAGTATGATCACCACCAATCTAATGCCAGATTTAGTTACCTGATGCGAGATAAGGCACCTAAGAGTTGAGCAACCAAATCCAAAAGAAGCCCCCGAAGATCAACCAAGGATGGGTATTCAACCTGGCTAACAAGCCTGCAAATAGAGCAAGTTATGTTCATATGGCCAAAACTTTCACAACATAAATAATAGTTCAGACACCATAAACCAGCCTTACCTATCAGCATTGATTAACCAATCAAAGACAAAATTTTCAAGTCCAGACCAAAGCTTCTCTGCAAAGAAGACAAGCACAGTTCAATTATAGGACGAGGAAATTATGACAGAAAACTAACATGACAATACAATGACCTAACCAGTAAGTCCCTCCTGTGGACAGCACTCCACAAATCGAATACAAGCTGAGCAAAAAATGCACTCCACTGCAAGCTGAGATTGATGCGAACATGTCAATTAAATGTGTGGACTATTGTATCTAGGTGTCGAACAAATTTAAGACGAGGAACGTTTTAGGCCAACTGTTGATTTTTTCAAGCACAAACTGTTGATAAAAGATTTAAGTGAAACCTATAGCAAATCATAAACTTCTAAATATTAACTAAGTGCACAGATCAAGGGTAATGAACTTAAAAGTAACAATTAGTGGTTTCTGACATGAATTGCACGGAATAAAGAAAACTGCTCTGACAAGGGATACAAGTTTTCTGCAAAAGCTACTTATCACCTATCTCAGCTTTTTAAAACAAAAATATAAAGAAACTTGGCACGAACCTTCCTTTGGAATGTAGACGCATCATTTGCACCTTTTGGGGATTCGCTGCAACAAAATATGGCAACAAAATAAACAATTTTGCATACTGAAAAAAGAAAACAAGATGACTCATCTTAAGACATTTCGATAAAACTAAATAATGACATTGTCATCCATGCTTGGGGAGAGAAAAGTAGGAAGCATTAAACAAACATGACTAGATTCCAAGGTAATAGGACGCTTCAAACTAGAAGAGAAAAGGTGAAGGTCAAAATTTTACAATTTTCTATCACGAAATATTTGTCTTTAATCAGTTCTTACCGTCTCATTCCTACCTTGGCTCTAACATAAAACATAAGCAAACACCATATACACGTGCGCGCACCACACACACTCAGATAGACAATGAATACTATAGCACAACAGACGCATGTTTTGTCACTAGGCAAATTCATTTACTATTTCAAAATAAACAACCGGCAGAAACCAAAATTAACTCGACTTATTTTCTAGTTCTAGACTTTACATTACTGTAAATCTGGGAAGCAATAAACTAGATAATGGCCGAAATGAGAAACGCATCTTCAAAGGAGGGGGAACATAGAACAACCCACCTTTCTCTCCATTTTAGAAGAGCTTCTAAAAGTGGTACCGGGGTATGTCTAGCAACCATAGCTAGGGAATCCAGTACTTGCTCATAGGCAGGATCTGATGGTCGAAGATATTGCCCATCCTGTAAATTGTCAATGTAACAACAAGCAATAATTAGGACTCAACGACATCAACTTATCCAAATTAGCAAAACAAACATTCACCAAAAGAAGAGGAAAAAAATCCCGATACAGAAAACACACACAAACGTATCAACCATACATGAAAGAGTAATACCATGCATTTTGATTACAACAATGCCGTTTCAAAGGCAAACCAATAAGGAAAATAAACACTTGAAATTCCAGAAACAAGGGGCTTATCCTTGTAATTAGTACTCGAAAACCAAAATCTACACTTCTTTCATTCATCAACATATATAATTCAACATCAATCTTAAGCAAGAACGAACTAAGAATTTCAAGGTATCCGTCAATGGCAGAAAAAAGACGACTAATTTTCCATATACAAAGCTTCGCGGGGGAGCTAAAAAGCACCATAGAAACGAGAAATCAAACAACGAGAAGAGAGAGAGAGACAGAGAGAGATTTGAGAGGACAATTCGAGAATCAAGACCTGTGCTTGAGCGGTCTCGATACGGCGGCGAGCGAGGGGAAGAAACCGCTGTAGCAGAGCGTCGACGATGAGTTTGGCGGCACTTCCCGCCTTCATCTTCTTCTCTGTTCTATCTCTCTGAGATTCCCCGCCTCGTGTTCAGGTTCGAGCCCTTGGCTCCGGCATTCGCTTGGAAACCAATTCCGAAACCCTAGAAACGAACGGAAGAAAACGAATCACCGCCCAAAGGTAGGAGGGAGGAAGCTGAGAATTTCAGAGTTCGGAGTCAGTGACCTCCGAATTTAAGTGCGGAAATGGTCAAGCTCGCATAAATGAGATCGTCGTATAACGAAATTAAGCAAGTCTTTTTTTTCCCAATAAATAAACTCAGGTCGGAACCTTTTTATTTTTAAGGGTTAAAAAAAATATAGCTTGTTGTTCGACTTCTTGTTGTTTGTGACATCTCTTCCCAAGATTCGCTAGTTGTTATGATCACTACGAAAAATAATCTCCTTGCCTTTTCAATAAAATATTTGCTTTCTTAGTCTCGTTCATTTCACCGATTTGAGTTTAAAATTTAAGTTTTATTACAGTAAAAAACTCTTATAAACAGTCACATCTAACTTTTTTACTATAGTAAAAAAATCTCACATAAAATCACATTTCAACTCGAATTAACGAACTAAACGTGTTCCCTTAAAAAAGGAAAATAGAAAATATTTCCAATAAAAAATCCAAACAAAATTCTTAAATTAAAATTGCTAATGACCATTGACTAGCTTTTCATATTCATTTGTGACTCTGGCCCCGTTCATTTCATCGATTCGAGTTTAGAATTTGAGTTTTACTACAGTAAAAAACTCTCAGAAATAATCACATTTAATTTTATTGATATAGTAAAAAGCTCTCACATAAAGTCATAGCTTAACTCAAATCAGCGAACTAAACGAATCCTCTATCTACTCAGGCCCACTATTTTGCATCTTTCTTCTAATGGAATGATATATACAATCTACCAATTAAATATTAGCAAAATCATTTAATCATTAAAAAGTTTAGTATAAAATTGGTAAAAAGGACAAAAAAGTAACTTAACAAACATTCATTTATTCATTCTTTTAACTCTCACTTCCTCCTACCAAACAACACAAAGGATTACCATAATCCTCTTCATCCCTCACATTTTTCATCACTCTAACTCTCTCCATTTCTCTTACCAAATAAAGCCTAAATATGAAAGACACATTGAGTGCGTTTGGAACTCGTTCTAAAATGATTTTATTTTTTATATGAAAATAGAAATGAAAACGTTTTTAATATCAGACAGAAATCATTTTTAAAAATGTGTTTGGTAGTTTTATTAAGAGATTATTTTCAGTATAAAAAATCAATTAATATCTCTCTTTATTTACTCGAGAAAGGAGAAAATAGAAATAAAAAATAAAAAATGACTAATTATTTTTCATTTCTTTCATATTTTACACTAAACTAAAAAATTATTTTTATTTTTTTTTTTATCTTTAATTATATCAAACATTATTTCTCTCTCATTATTATTATTATTTAAAATATATATATATATATATAAAAATAAAAACAAAAACAACCGCAAACACATCCATCGTTTTTCTCACGGATGACAAAAAAGTTGAGGTTGAACGTCATATTGTCCCATTTCCGTTGACGCAAAATCCCAAAGGAATGACTTGTCATTAGTTAATAACACGACAACAAATTTTACAAGTTAAAAATTATATATGGTTTTAGTTATTTTTTTCTTTAAATATCAATATCAATGGAAGCGCAAATCAAGATACAATAACTACTTAGGGGACGTTTAGTTAGATGATTCAAACCATGATTTGAATCATAGTTCATGATTCGCTACAGTGTTTTCTCTCATAAAAATTACACGTAAATTAAAAATAGTTCTAATCACATTATTATAATCCATGAACCAAACGTCTCCTTAATATTTATCGTACCCTCTCAAATTAGACACTAAAATAGCCGAGAAGACGGAGGAGCAACCGAGTCGCTCAACAATCTCTTTAGCAACGTATTTGCCATGATTAAATCCGAGCTTCAGGTTTTCATGTCAATTTGTTTTTTTAGGGATTTTATATTTCAATTTGTACTCTGGGATAAACAATTTGTTGCTTCTATTTGGTTAGGGCACAAACAACTAGAGCAGTTGGAGAAGATGAATCTGCAGAGGCTACAGAGACGTGGCTTCAGGGATGAGGGTATTCGTAGAACAATTAAAGTCCATAAGAAAGATATAGGTGAGGAACTCTTTCAGAAAGGAATGCTAAGTGTTAGAGGTGGGCATTGGATCAAATCAAAACCAACATTTTCTTCAAGCATCGTCATCTAATCCAATTATGTACAAATTATTTGAAATCCAATCAATCTAATTTAATGAAATGTTAGATCCACTCCAATCCAATATATGACATCATTCGATTGCATTGGATTGGGTATCGACTTTCATCAAAACCTCTTCAAACGTTCTAAATTCCATAAAATTGCACAAAATAACAAATCTACACATTTAAGACATAAATTTAGTCATTCATCATACAAGATAAAATCAAAATTATCCAATAAAGATAAGAGAAGACTTTAGGATTCAAGTTTGATGATATGGGTGAGCTCAAAGATGGTCGATTGCCTATTTAACGACGCACGATGAAGGCACACACATTAAGAACTTATGACTTATGTGAATTTGTTAGTTTTAGAGTTTGTTCAATTTATATCCTAAAAATTGAAAATATTACATATATACAATTATTTTTAATAAAGCATACATTGGATTGGATTTTTTAAATTCAAACTCAACATTCATTCCAATCCAATTGGATAAGTAGAAATACAATCTAAATTCAATCCAACAATCTTTGGCTATCCATTTTATTTTTCAAAAGAATTGAATTAGGTTGGTTGAATTAATTAGGTGATTGAATCTTTTGTTCCTCCTTAATTAGACCATAGCAATGTTTGGTAATGCTTTTTGAAACTCAAAATAAATTCTTTATCCATTTACAATTGAAATTTATATTTAATTAAAAAAATATTTATTAAGGTTTCGTTTAATTTGTTTATTTAAATTTTCAATTTGAATTAAGATCTAATTTTATATAAAAATTTTTAATTGTAACATAAAAAATTAAATGTAATTTCTTCTAAAAATTTTTAATTATAATAAAATTTAAATTCAAATTCAAAAAATGAACGAGGCGAATTTGCAAACAATTCACAGAGCTTCTAATTTTAGATTGAGTGGCAATCCATATCCGTTCAATTAATGAAATTTTTGTAATACCCTAAATTACCCTGATGAATTCTAAAAATAACATTCGTCTCCACCCCGATGAATTCTATCAGAGAACACATTCAACGCTTCATCTTCTCCACTCACATTCGATTACTCCATTTTTCTGTGAAATCAATGCACTTTAAACTAGTCACTGAGAAACATAAACAACATCCTTGCAAATTCACAAAAATCACCAATAACAGATTTAGAAAAGAAAAAAAAAAGAATACGTGAAAATTAACACTAAGAAAAACCTCAAATTAGCTTTCAACAGATGGGGGAAGCAAGTAGGAAATCAATCGGTGGGGGAGGTGATTTGGCTAAGTTCGCGAGGAGAGAGGAGGAAGATAGGCGATCGGCGGGGGGGGGGGTCCGGGGGGGGGGGCATGGGGGGGGGGGGGGGTAACTGGTGGGGTGGGCGGCAGTGTGATTAGGATCTGGGTTTTTTTTAGGTCTGCAAGTGAACCCATGGAAGAAGAAGACTATTTTTGGGAATGCAAGTGATGGAAGAAGAAGACTTGCTAAGGAAAAACGAAAAAGAAAAAGAAAGAAGAAGAAAGACATTTGTTTTTATTTGCTTTTCATTTTTTATCAAAGCAATAAGTAGTGCTGAAATTTTAGACGGATCGTTTGCAACCACCCGAAAAACAAAGTTTTTGTCCGAGTCTAAACCCGACCCACCTAAAAAATTTAGGCCGCCCGCCCGAGCCCGAATTTCCCCTTGAACGGGCCGCGGACTTGTGTTAGTCCGCCCAAGCCCGCCCGATTTGCCCGAATTTTTTTTAAATATTGTTTAATTTTTATAATTATTAAGTTAGTTTGTGTTAAAATTATGTAAAAATCAAAATCAACATTCAATAGACATTATTAACACAATTGAATAAATTTATCATGTATATTATTGATGTATTAAATTCGTAATTCATGATTGCCTCGTTAAAAACCTTACCAAGAAAAACCTAATTGGGATAAAAACTTGGCAAGGAAAAAAGAGTACAATCATTTTGTGACGAATTACAAATTTTACAAACTTACAAAGTTATACAATTACAAATACAACGGCAAAAGTAAATACATATTTACAAATTACAAATTTACAATTTAATTTGAAGCTGAAGGATCGTCTTTAAAATTAAATGTTAATCGATTAAATTCATCAATCCATTCTTAGTTTACCGGCGAAATTGTATCCTGTAGACGTTGATCAGTCCGATCACAATCCTTAATGCAAACCAATGCTTCAACAATATCCCTTTGCAATGCATTTCGGCGTTCCTCAAGTATTCTTCATGTCGTACTGAAGGCTTGTTCTGATGAAACAGTGGAGACTGCGATCGAAAATATATCCATTGCCAATCGAGTTAGGATTGGCCAAGTTAATGCCCGTGCCCTCCACCATTGAACTAAGTCAAACGATTTTACCGTACCGCCAACTACTAAGCCTTCACTGAGGTACGCCATAAGCTCGTTAAAGATGCCGCTGCCGTTGCCACTGCCATTTGTTGATGAAGATTCACTCACAGCTTCTGTTTGAGTTGTCTTCTTCTTCTTCTTC